ATGTAGGCCACACTGGCAATTCTGTTGCAGTAATTGCAAAGCACTAAAGGTCTAAGATGGCACTCCCCTCCCTCTATGGAATCACTCCCAGGACCAGCAAGTTCCACCGCTGCTAATGATTGAGATCATACAGAACTGCAGCCAGCAAGGGAGCAACAACCAATAGGAAAAGCAGGGCAATATGGCTGAGAACGATCTAATTACATGGTAAAATGCTGCAATATATAAATTTGAAAAAGTCCCAAGTCCTACCTGTCCCAGTATTTCGATGCAAGAGGTGAAGAACTGTCGGGAAGGAGGGTGGCGCTGCGTTTCGTCACACACAAACTCCACCACGGCAAAGAAGGTCCCAATCCCGATTTTCTGTATCTCCACAGGTGAATGCACCTTATAAGCATTGACGAGAGCCCTAAGTGCATGGAAGCAGTGTCAATGTGTTTGCAGTTTGGCGGTGGGAACAAGCAGGACAGTCCTCAACCCCTCCACCAACCACCACACCCCAGTGAATGATGTTTGTATTGAATGGATATGTAATAGGGTGTTTTTGACATGAGCCCTGAGTTCAGCATGAAAGGAAAAATACGACATTCACTTAAAGTCAAAATCTCTTCACCTGTGTTTTGATGCACATACAGGACATTTTGCAGAGCCAGTCACCCTGCGAATCTCTGTGATCGTTCTGAGCGAATAGAGGCAAAAAACAAACGTTCTTGGCATAATTTTCCTTGCAGGTCAAATATAATGCAATGCCACATTATGGCCACTGGGTGGAGCTGAGGAGCACAGGAAATAAGTATACGCACATGAACAAGTGTTCCTGGAGATTCGCCGGGCGAATGACTCTATGAACGGTTTATAAACAGACCTCCTATGTGTTCTTCCTAGCACTGCACCAAAACACCACAACACACAAGCGAAGAGATTTTCACTTTACGAAGGGAATTTTGTGTTTTATCCCTTTCACTGCCAAGGCCTTTTTTTTTAACATTTTTTGCACACGTTATAATCCACATTTTAGGCCTGAAAATTACTTAAAACCCCCAAACATTATATATTTTCGGAAAGCCAAGACCCTGTAGAATAAAATAGCGACAGTTGAAGATTTTTTTTATGTCCTATGACGATATTAGCACAACTGTTTATCAAACCCAAACATTTTGTAAAAAATGCACTGAAGTTAATTTTAGTGCCCAAAAACACAATATCATACCCATTTTTTTTTTTTTTTTTTGAGGTTTTGACAAGTAAATAGATACCCGACATGCCCAGGTTAAAAATTGCGTGCGTCCGCTATACGGCAACAAAATGTGGTACCCCAAATTGTCCATAGGTGACATTTTAAAAGCCCCCACAGGTCATTAGTTTAGAGATATCCATGAATATTGGCCCTAGAATTTTTGTTCTCAGTCCGGGGTGTGCAGCGATACGTAACGCGTGGCGCGATCTTCGTTTTTGTACGTAGGTGCACCCGACGCATGTGCACGTTAATATGCGTGCGCTCGCAGGGGACTTTAAAAATAAATGTAAAAAATAATAAAACATTTTTTTTAAACTTTCCTTTATTGCTATGCCATTGGGGGGCTTTACAAGACCCCTATGTGAAAGCACATTGGAGGTGACAGGTACTCTTTAGACTCAATCAGCTTCGCTTCCGGTTCCTTAGAGTGGGGGGCACATCGGTGAACGGATGTTCGCTGCTCTCCTCCCGGGCTTCCTGCCGACACCTGAAATGCTGATGTGGGAGGGGCAGCAGAGCCCAGGAAGCAAGGCGG